CATAACAAACAAAGGATTGATTACACCTAGAACGCCAAACGAATCCACTTGAATTTCCGCGCGTCGAAGCTCCTCTTTCCTCTTCTCCTTGCTGCGGCAGAGAGGTTTTCTTGTGTTTTTGGATGGTTTTCTGGGTTAGGGATGGATTTAAGGAGGTTTGATGGTGCGGAAATGGTGGTGGATGGTGTGGAATGATGTGGAATGGTGTGGGGAGTGGTGGAGAGGATGCGGCAATACTTGGAAGTGGCTGGAATGGTGGAGGGAGATGGCACGGCAAAGGTTTTGGGTGATGGTGGCTGCACGGTTTTGGAGAGAATGGGAGTGAATGGTGGCTGATTAGTGTATGAATGAATGAGAGGGTATGTGCGGATTAAGAATAAAATGGGAGTGACGGCTGAATGAAGGGGAATGGGTTGGTGGCTGCGGCACACAAGGAATTAGGGTGATGGGATGCACGGTTTTGGGGACAATTGAGTGAATGCTAGAATGTGGCTGATGAGAGAGTGAGAAGTGAGAGGGTGCGGCTGCAAGGTTGTAGTTTAGGGTTTATGAATGAATGGCTGAGATGGTTTTGAATGAATGAATCAGATGCTAGGGTGAATTAAAAGGGTGCGGCTAGGTGTAAAATGTGTAGGGTTTCAGAAAATAAACCCTAGCTTATTATAATTAACTAAAATTAAATTAAAGGCTACTAGAATTAAGGTTTTAAATCAGAAATTAAAGGGAATGGCTGCAAGGTGCGGCTAGGGTTTAAGTTAGGAGAGGGAAATAAGGTTTAAGTGCACAACATTAGACAAAACTACCCTCCCTTGCACGGCAAGGGAGGGGAATTAGGGTAAAGGGCACGGCAAGGGCTATAAAATGGGCTAGGGCCTTTGTTTTGTGTCCTAAAGTGCCTTTAAGGACTTCAAAGTGGCTAGAAAATACGGACGTTTAAGATTAGGAAAGTTTACCAAAACGGGAAACTTAGGGTTAACTTTCCTACTTCAAGTAGGAATCCTTGTTTGAGTAGGATTCCTCGTTTTGGTAGGAATTCATCGTTGGAGTAGGAATTCGTCATTTCTTCAAGTCTTCAACTCATTCATTCCTCTTTCGCTCCAAAAAACTCTGATTTGCATCTTCGTGCACACTTTGACCTTATAATTTGAAAATACACAAAAGTGGCCTTAAACACTAAAATAACTAAATAAACACAACATAAATGCACGAGAACAAGCTAATTAAGTCGCATGAATATGCTCCTATCACTATATATGATAAAATCCCAAGTGATTTTGTAAGATTAAGATATGAGACAGCCCCATTGGGTTTGTTCTGTTGGGGATTCCACATAGAGGCCAGACAAACGTGACCTAGCAACCACGTGATATAAGATCACAGTTGAGAAATTCTAGGGCTTTATATTTGGCAGCAAATATCCCAGCACAACCTATCCTTTAATATATATGCTGATGTTTTGATCTAAATAAAAATTTTCATTAGCATAATTGAAAATAATTAAATTCAGTTTGTTTATTTATATGCTTGTCAAGTGGGCCACCTTCACAACTGATGTCGATTACAAGTTTTTCCTATCCTGTTTATCAAGTTTTTAACCCTAGCATTGCTGTGATGTTTATCATATATTCACTCATGTTAACAATGCATATTACTGGTTGCTTTTGTTCATCAAGCCAAATAAATGATAGCTGCGATCACTGGAGCGTCCTTCCCATGTACGATCCCAAGCCAATACAATTGCTTATCGCTTAGCATGGTACGCTCTTCATACTGGTTGCTTTTGTTGTTGGTTTAAAATCCTCCGGACCTCATCTCTGGCTCGTTATTAGAGGATTGTTATAATTAAGATGCTGCTGTTTTTTTTTTTTTTGTACGGATTCAATCTTCTATGAAAGCTATCGTTTCTCTTCTAAAACAATGCATATTACTGATCCTATAATTTAGCATAAAAGTTTTGCTATCCCGTTTTTAAGTTTTTTGGATGACTACATCATCACGTGATGTTTGTCATATTATCTTAACAGTGCATGTTACTGATCCTATATCTTAAAGTATGAGTTCGTTACCCTTATTCTTAATTAAAATTTAATCTCTTAGAGTAGCTCTAGTGGGAGCTCCTGCTCGAGGGACAGGCTTCGGAACAGGGCTGGATTGCCCGAGGGAGGAAGCCTAGCATTGGTTGGCGAGGGAGCCCGTGCAAGCTCGAGCGCCAGGCCCGTCGATTCGTGCCGACTGAGCGCCCGAAGTCAGTCTGACGTGGGCTGACGTCAGGACGACGTCTCCACACTTTTTGAGGGCCACGGAGACGTGGGTTCTGACGAAACCGACTGTGCCGGTGACGAGAACAGACATGCAGACGCCATATCTTGTAAAATTTCTGACCCTTTTTTCTTCTGGGTTCCTCTCTGATGTCTCTTTTTCTTTGTTTCTCCAAAACCCACAATTGACAAAATTTGGAACCCATTTTTCAGTTGGATTGGATTTGAAAATTTGGGTTTTTGATTTTGATATGCAAAAAGAAAGAGATCGAAGAAGAAAGGTAAACAAGTGCAGATTTTATTTGATTTGGGATATTAAAATATCTACCCCTTCACTCCCCTCCAAACTCATCTCCGCCACTTCCTCCTCCTGCGACCACCGTCTCCTGCTGCTACTGCAACTTCAAATTCTGGGCTTTCAACCAAACCCTCTTCCATTTCGGCAAGACCCATCGCCAGATTCTCAGGGCTTGGTTCTCCGTCAGCGTCGGATTCGGTTTAACCTTGCTCTTCTTCGTCTCCCTCCTCCTCATATGGGAGCTCGGCAGAGCTCTCAATCTTTTTGTATTATTTTATAAATAAAAAAAACTATTATTTTATTGCCTATTGCAGGGTTATTCAAGTGCAACGGTGGAGATGCAAAAGGCAGTTACTGTTCATTAAGGGCAGTTACTGTTCACTGGGTGAATTGAATAGTGAATAGCCTGGGGGGAGCTCTCACGCTGGAGTTGCTTTTAAGATTAAAAGTCGGGTGGAAAAGCGTGAAAAACTCTTGTCCATGGTTCTTCGATACTAGATTCTCCGGAACCAAAAGAATCCTTAAGTAGAATGGGATCGATCTCAACTCAACACCTTTTTCTTGTTGGGACTTCAAGTTATTGGGTGAGCACAACAGGATGGAATTCTATAATTAACCTAAATTTGGGGTGAAAGTTTTTGTCTATCGTTGTCAGTTATAGTAAAATTAGTTATGATTCGGAGAAATGGTTGTTTCACTTGTGACGGACGTCAGCAATTCGAGTTCACTTTAAAAATATGTAAATCAAATACACCGCATGCCAATGTTACATGTAGAAACGTTGCCTACGAGTTTGCTCCATATTTCCTAGGTATAAAGAATTTAATTCGTGGGTGGTTTTTTTTTTCTTTCACTATTTAAATTTCTTTAGACCAACCACTTAGTACTATGATCTAATGATATTTCTTTTCATTTGTAAGTGAGAGGTTTTAGATTTGATTCTCGTTAAAAGCGAATTTGAACCGCATTATTACTAGTTCATTGTGAAATTAAACTCATCCCCATCTCTTTTAGTGTTGATAATATTGTTTGTTAAAAAAAATTCTTTCGAACAAACCCACTTTCTTGCTCATTGGTACAGTTACAATGTTTAATAAATAGAAACTTTTAAGTATGGTCTTCTTATTTACTATTTATCCAGTGCAAACCGACACGAATTGCTCATGTGCATTAGAGCCTCCATTTTCATTTGGATCCACCAAATAGTTTCTGCAAGTGTCTTCATATTTTACACCAATATCTTATGTAACATGTGTGATCTTAGGTAACAAGAAATATTCATAAATAAGGTTATCTTAGACGAGTGGAAAGTGTTGGTGGCCTGATTATTTTATCAGAGAGTGATGCTATGTCTGTAAAATATATGTGTGTTAGGACCACGGATGTTGGCCAAAGAAAGTGAAAGTACGTGGGAGGAGGGTTAATTGGTAAATAAAAATGAGAAAACGAAAAGTGAAATTTATCTTCATGGTTAGGAAATAGTGCTGAAGACATATGTTTGACACAAACATGATGCTTCTGGAAAGTGTTAGCAACACATATTTAGTATGAACAAGAGAAATAGGAATGACATGTATTTGACATGAATATGATACTTTTGTAAAATGCTAATAACTAGTGTTTGGTGTGAACTTGATAGCTATGAAGTGTTAATTGTGATGAAATTAAGGTTCCACCATAAAACCAATTGGCGATATGGGGAGTAACTCAAGACCATATAAGCACATAGCAAACCTTGTCTCTCACCAAAGTGAGGCAACTCTCAACACGACCCCGCACGTGTGACTGATTTTTAAGCCTACATGTGGACAACAATTGGATGACGTGGAGTGCGTGTGGCCGTTTGGCTTCACACGAGGACAACCCGCTCTGATACCATGATGAAATTGAGGTTCCACTATAAAACCAATTGGCGATATGGGGAGTAACTCAAAACTATATAAGCACATAGCAAACATTGTCTCTCACCGATGTGGGACAACTCTCAACAAATTGCACGTGTTTTTTGCAACAAAACATGAGGGTTTCGTAAAATGGTAATGACACGTAATCTAAAGTAGTGGCAATGGCACATATTCAACACGAATGACAATTCTGAAAAATATTGATGGTATGTATTAATATAAAGGAAAACTAATGAAAATGATTTGAAAACTTTGAGTTTTAATGATAAGGACAAAATAAAGGGTAAAGTGAATAATACTAGAATTGACTTTTTAATGTAAAAATATGATTTTTCGTTAAAGTGAACAGTATCTAAACCCTTAAAACTCCCTTACTATAAACCTGCTATTAAACCACGAAGAACAAGAATGATACGGCAATGTCAGATTATTAATATCTGATACAAACTTGACAGTTCTAAAAATGTGCTAATGACTAGCGTTGGACACAAACCAGACAGATCTAGAAGGATTAATCCATCATAGATCCCCACACAAACAGCTAAACAATTCAAATAAAGAACTCAAAGGATCACAAATTGAACACTTTTTACAAATTATATATAAAGAACTCAAGTGATTTCGATAGTCAAACCCCAACTCTCCCCACTTGTTCAAGCATGTATCCGACATAGCAGCAGTCTGTAATCCTGGTCTGACGGCAACACAGTAACTACATACACCCAATACAGCCAGGATGCGGTAAACCAAAAGAAATCCAGCATTAAAATATAGTTAAACTCAGGTAACTAGTTCGAGTACTTTGAATGGGAGTCTACTCAAAAACTGTAAAAATAGCTGCGACACCCACGTTCTTTCATCGTCACCATCCTCACACTCACAGCTCTAACTTCAGCAACCCAACGACACCAGCAGCACAGACAGGCAAGCTCACCATCGAACCACTCCATGCCACCATCACTGATTCAATTCTAAACCCAGCAAAACCATGCAAACCCAGCAAACCATTTCTGGGTTCTCTCGATCCGTACCTCCTCTGCTCCTCCTCCTGCTCTTATGTTCCACCACCGCATCTGGGTTCGGATTAATGGGACCCATCTCGGCCTCCTTCGGCAAAGACGGCTTCTTTTGCGCCATAGACGCCAGTGGCAAGCAGGACGTGGTTTGCTGGGGAAAGAACAGCTCCTCGTCGACGCTGTCTTCGGCGTCTTCATCGTCCTCAGCCTCTTTCGGAAATATTCCGGCGATGGCTGCCCTCTCCGGCGGTGAAGATTTTCTTTGTGGCATTTTAGCTAACACCTCTCTGGCGTATTGTTGGAGCCCCGTTTCTCCGGGTATAGATCTTGTTCCTCCCGTATTCAAGTCCGCTGCGTACTCTCATATTGCTGCTGGGAAGAGCCATGTCTGTGCTATTAGAGGGTCGTATTACTCTGATCACGAATTTGGAACAGTAGATTGTTGGGAAATTTTTGAAACATCGAATAAAAGTTTGAGTTCAAAACAGAGCAATCTGTTTTCTGACCAGGCAATTGCCAATCTTGTGTTCAAAACGGTTGTTTCTGGCGAAGGGTTTAGCTGTGGGGGTGTTAGAGATGGAGGGCTGATTTGTTGGGGACCGAATTCTTCGAATTTAGGCGTTTCGGGTTCGCTACAGAATTTCACAGCTTTAGCTTCAGGGAGGGCCTCAATCTGTGGAGTTTCAGATTTTGGTGAATTGAAATGTTGGGGTGACGCTGATTTGTTGGATGGTCGTCCAAATGGAACTCAGTATGTGTCTTTGGCAGCTGGTGATCACCATTTTTGTGGGATTCGACACGACAATCATAGAGTTGAGTGTTGGGGCATGTTTAACTCCTCCTTGATTCCAAAGACTTCCGGGTTTTTGGCGATTGCCTCATCGGATTATACCACTTGTGGGATCAGGGAAGATGATTTGGTGATTGATTGTTGGGATACCAATGCAACTTCATCCCCGCCGGAGTATGATCCTCCATTGGAATTGTGCAGTCCAGGTCTTTGCACTCGTGGTTCTTGTGGCCAAGGGGAGTTTGCTTTCAATGCTAGCATACTCAATGAGGTGGATTTGACAAGCTTGTGTGTTCGAAAAGATCTCACGATTTGTTCCTCGTGCGGGTCAAATTGTTCCGAAGGATTCTTCTTGTCTAGTTCATGTAGTGAACATGCTGATCGAGTGTGCACAGCTTGCTCTCTTTGCCAAAACAGCTCTTGTTGGAATGTTTGTGGGCTTCAAACTCCTCCAGAAATGAGGAAGAAGCTTTGGAATCATGTGCGTAGGTTGGTGATCATATTCGGGTCTTCTGCTTTGGGGTTTTTGTTGATATTAACTTGTTGGTGCCTTCTTCCCCATTTAACAACTTCTCGAAAAAAAGAAGGGACACAAAAGCAGTTTAAATCTTGCATTGGGAAAGCAGAGTTGGAAGCTGACAATAATAAGGATTCAAATCCTTCTCTATCCGTGGTTCCCTGTCCTGGGATGGCTCAAGTGTTCCGGCTCTCAGAACTAAGAGACGCCACCAACGGATTCAAGGAGTTTAATGAGCTTGGCAGGGGAAATTATGGCTTTGTTTACAAAGCTGTGCTAGCAGATGAACAGCAAGTTGCAGTCAAGAGAGCAAATGCTGCTACTATAATTCACACAAATAGTCGGGACTTCGAAATGGAATTAGAGGTCCTTTGCAAAATCCGCCACTGTAACATTGTGAACTTGTTGGGTTACTGCTCGGAGATGGGAGAAAGGTTGCTTGTGTACGAGTATATGGCCCATGGGACGCTTTATGACCATCTCCATGGTGGCCTTTCTTCCCCGAATTGGAGCCTCCGGTTGAAAATTTCAATGCAGGCGGCTAAGGGGCTTGAGTACCTTCACAAGGAATCCGTGCCTCCCATTGTTCATCGCAACGTCAAGACCTCAAACATTCTTTTGGACGCTGAATGGAATGCACGAATTGCAGATTTCGGACTCCTTACATCTAATGACAAGGATGTCAACGGAGATTTAGCCAGCGATGTTTACAACTTTGGAATAGTACTGCTGGAGATCCTCACTGGAAGGAAAGCTTATGACAGAGATTACACTCTGCCAAGTATAGTCGAATGGGCACTGCCTCTAATCAAACAGAACAAGGCAGCTGCCATAATCGATCGTTATATAGCTCTTCCGAGAAATGTTGAGCCTTTGCTTAAGCTTGCTGATATAGCAGGACTGGCTGTAAAGGAAAATCCAATCGAGCGTCCTACAATGTCGGATATTGCATCTTGGTTGGAGCACATTGTGAAAGATGGTTTGACCTTGTAATTTCTGAACCAGGTCGCTGGCAATTCGTCAAAGATCAATTGAGCAAAGATTGTTACACTTGTTTCAGTAAGTACTGCTCTAATCTTCCTCAATTGTACATCTATTTATGAGCTGCTTGTAAATGAAGTGATTAATCTTCTTTCTTCGTTTCTGATTATTTCCCTTAATCCGCACAAAGTGAAGGGAAGACTACCTTTGTACTTTCAGTTTTCCACATGAAACTTGATTTAATTATTTGCCTTCTCAAGTAAAACATTGGAGAGCCATAAGGACCCCATTTCCCATCGTTGCGTTTTGTATTAACATCTCCCATTTCTTTTGTGTATTTTATCCAGACGATAACAATGTTCTGATTTAAATTTTTTAACTATCGTCATCATTGTACTTCGATGTTTTCGTTCATATTATTCATTGATTGCACAATATGTAGTAATTAAACCAGATGTAGTTACTAAAATCAAGCAATGTCAGCTCCATAGGTTCTACTTATGATACACTTGCACAAAAGATTTCTCTGATTTAAGGGGTATTGAGTCATTCACTGCATTATCTATTATCTCTTTCAACCGCAATATTTCGATCATCTGATATCTGCACAAAAGTTTTTACCAGGATACCTTGTGCAACTCAGAAATGTGAAAACTACAGCATCTTCTGAACTGAAGCACTCATACGACGATGGGTTTCAGAAGGGAAAAACAACCTTATCTTTGTGATGCACAAAAGAATGAAAGATCTCAGAAACCTTGTGGGAAAAGATTTGCAACCTCATCTGTCACTTTTGCATTGCAGCTTCTCTTAAAGGCCCGCAGCAGTGGCCGTGCAAACCATAACCAAGTTGAAGACAAAAAATAGAAGAGGTAATTGGCCTTTCAGATGGATAGTGCTTTGTTGACGAGATGAGCTTGTTTTGTGCAATTTGCCAACTCAAAAGCTTGGCATTTGAATTGATTGGTTCCTGAGCTGAGGAAATAGTGGGTAAAAAAGACTCCTCCACTACTAGTTAAGTAGTGCTTCACAGTTCTCACTTCTCATACTCTAAAAGGGCATGTTCTAGTGACTTGAGCCTCTATCTTGGCTTCGGAATTGGGGGACCATCAAGGGTAATGCTAGATAGACCAAATTTTTAAATCAAATTTGCAAACCAAATAACGTGTCACCAATAAGAAATAAGCACGTTAATCAATACTTAAGTAATACTCCACATTATTTGGTTTATAAAATTTGGTCTACCTAGCATTACCCAGTCATCACGTGAGGTGAGGAAGGTAGTGTCATGCCCCAATCCCAACATACGTCCAGGATCGACATGTGACGTCATCAAGTATCCGTATATCCAACAGACCCCACCTCCGAGATATGTACAAAGCATAATTCAAGATTCGAATTGCGTAGTAATTTTCGTGTACTTTATAGTTGCATCTAACCTCCTCAGTTAGATTGCCTACATACCCTAAAGAGGAATCAAGTCATTCGTGGTTCACCATTCACCACACTCCGACGTTTATCACAATACGTTCAAGCAGAAAAGCATAGCATTCCTCAATCAATCATTTGGACTTGACAAGCATGAATTATTCGATTCAAGCTACAATACGAACCCACATGACAATCAAGGTTTCTATTTCCTCCATCATATAAATTACTATGTTTCAACATAAAATCGCAATTCATAGCATGTAATATATCAAAGAATCAACAAAGCACAATAGTATCCTCTAGTCACATTGATCAACTAATTTAATCGTATTAATAACAATTATATCCAACATCATTCCACAATCACTTCAAGTAACCAATTCCATGAATCAAGGAGGCACGATATTAACATTTAATTATGTTAATCAATAAACAAGATCACATATCAATGCACGAAATTTAATAAAGGAATTCTACATAATTCCCTGCCTGGATTCCAAGTAATAACATGATAATTCTAATTTCAAAACATGACGTCTACTGTGAGTAATTCCTACTCACTCGAATCTAGGGTCGAACTAACTTTATGGAAATGAGCAAGAGTAGGGATTCCAAACCACTCAATAAAATCGAACCCGAAATATAATCACCTATCGGAATGTATTGAGTACAACTAATCCTCATCACCCCTAGTGTAACATCCCACATCGCCCAGGGGAGTGATCCTTAAATGTATATTCCCATCTCTACCTAGCACGAGGCTTTTTGGGAGCTCACTGGCTTCGGGTTCCGTAGCAACTCTGAAGTTAAGCGAGAAAGGGGCTAGAGCAATCCCATGATGGGTGACTCACTAGGAAGTTGCTCGTGAGTTCCCAAAAACAAAACCGTGAGGGAATGGTAAGCCCAAAGTGGACAATATCGTGCTACGGTGATGGAGCGGGCCTGGGAAGTGATCCGCCCGGAGCCGGGATGTGACAATTGGTATCAAAGCCTAACCCTGGCCGCGTGTGTGCCGACGAGGACGTCGGGCCCCTAAGGGGGTAGATTGTAACATCCCACATCGCCCAGGGGAGTGATCCTTAAATGTATATTCCCATCTCTACCTAGCACGATGCCTTTTGGGAGCTCACTGGCTTCGGGTTCCGTAGGAACTCCGAAGTTAAGCAAGAAGGGGGCTAGAGCAATCCCAAGATGGGTGACCCACTGGGAAGTTGCTCGTGAGTTCCCAAAAACAAAACCGTGAGGGAATGGTAAGCCCAAAGCGGACAATATTGTGCTACAGTGGTGGAGCGGGCCTGGGAAGTGATCCGCCCCGGGCCGGGATGTGACACCTAGAATGCATATGGTCCCCCATCGCAGATATACCAAGCAGAACCATAAGCATAATTTCATCATGCAGGTAGTGATCACCCATAGTAGATATACCAAGCATGATCACCCCTGAATACGTATGGTGCCCCAACGCGGATATACTAAGCAGGACCATATCCTAACTCTAGGTGGTGATCACCCAAGGCGGATATACCAAGCATGATCACTTCTAGAATGCGTATGGTCTCCCAACGCGGATATACCAAGCAGAACCATATGCATAGTCTAATAACGTAGGCAATGATCACCCAATGCGGATATACCAAGCATGATCACCCCTAACAGTCTCCCAATGTGGATATACCAAGCAAGACTATTTCCTATAACTCTAGGTAGTGATCACCCAACGCGGATATACCAACCATGATCACTCCTATAATGCGTATGGTCCCCCAATGCGGATATACCAAGTAGAACCATAACATAATCTCATTGTACAGGTAGTGATCACCCAACGCAGATATACCAAGCAGGACCATCCATGTACCACTACTGCATGGTGCAGTAAATTCAACTCACAACCTACTCACAACTCAACCCTTATGAGTTACAACGTAGTCACCTACACCATCAACTTCTCATGGCCACCAACTAATATGTCACACAAGCATATAAGTTCTACCGAATACATCTAATAGGATTCTAGGATCACATTGTCATAACATTTATCATACTTATCATTCACATTATTAAGAAGATAACTAAACACGTATGTGTGTGTGTGTGTGTGTATCACAATATGATGTCCTATACACGTAAACCAATGTATAAATCATTTGGGATAACCACTAACCCATATAGGCCCACTAAGCCCTACATAGACTTTAGAAATATACATTTTAATATTTAAGATCATTTCGTAGCCTATTGACCAAAAGTCAAGTCTCTATCAAGGGTGTGGTCCACAACCTTATACAAATCAATTTGGAACATCCACCCATGGATTTCCGATCCGTAACATCCCAAGGTTCTCATTAGTCTTCTAGAATAATATTCTAAAATTTTAGAATGATTTAACGGTCGGATCTCCTCCAATTGCTAGAATTAGGTTACTATCAACGTTTGGTTTTACAAACTTAGAAATTCAATTTGGGAAGATCCGTATGTCGGATTCCCAATCCATTAGTTCCTATTGTCCTCAAATAGTATGTACTATAAAGTATTAAGGTTTAGTGACTATCCAACGGTCGAATCGTCTAATCATAAAATGGTCAGATGGCCTAATATTCCATACTAGGTTCAAACTATCAAACTACGTTAAATGGTTATCAAATTTGAAATCAAAACATCGAATTTAACTTAAAAAGGCAGTGTCGGCCCACTAGCCACGTGCCGCCACGGGTGGCAGTTTCCGGCGAACGGAAACCCAATTTTCCGACTAAATCTAAAAATTACCAAATTTTACAGAAGTATAAAACAAGTCAAGGAGAACAATTTTCATATTGGGTCGAGGCCCAGTTTGGCCGGGAAGTCACCTGAATTCGCTTCGATCCGTCGAAAACCCTAAAATGAGTGAACTTCAATTCAACATCAAAACGACCTCCAACTCCCTGATCTTGGCATGGGTTTTGTTCTTGGTCTCAAGAAGGTTTGAATGATGGTGGTGGTCGATGGTGGTGGCCTTAGAAATAGCGGATTGCCGTTGTGGGTGCCCTCGAAGTCGTCAGCTTCGATCCTTGCCAAATCGAGGCCAAGGACCCTCGGATTTTTGGTGGAAAAGAGAGAATGGAGGTCAGGTTTGTGTACATAGGTAAGGGTTGGGTAGAATTCATCAGAAAAACCGACGAAAATCACTGGAATTGGCTACCCAGTACTGGGTATGCCGTCTAGTTATCCAGGTTGGCTGCTGCTCCTCTTTTCTCTTTTCCCTCCTTTTTCTCCCTCATCTCTCATTTTCCCCCTCTCTTGCTACCACCTACTAGCTTCTAATTATTTTATTTAATTTTTTTTTCAACAACTAAAACGTCTCTAATTTCTTTGTTTCAACTTCGATTCGTGAACGGTTTTCGCCTACGCGCTCGTAAAATTGAACTCTATCCAATTATACTTAGTGTGACCCTATAAAGTCCACGAATTTTAATGATTACTGACCAAAATTCAAACTTCATGATTAGTTCAGTTAAAAGTCTAAATTCAAATAAATTAATATAAATTCTCTAAAAATAATATAGAAAATCTCAATAATACAAATACGTAGATTATAACAGTGAAATCCAAGAACGGGATTTCATAGGTAGAGTCAGTTCGGATGCCAACACCTGTCACCGCTCCATTTTCTGGTCGGTTTAGATGGCTGGCACATGATTTTCGCTTGAATTTTAGATTAATCACTTACATTAACGACTCAATAAGAGAATTTCTATGTTAGAGATCATTTGGATGCCGTCACTAGTGTGCCAATAGTACAACTTTTGCTAAGCTTGGTCGACCAACACATGTTTC